CCCCCCCTCCTTCCCTCCTTTACAAGGTTGTAAAAATGATACATTTTGCCTCACGGACCACGCGTGGCCGCGTGTGGCACGGAGTCCTATTGGACCTTTTGAACAAAAGAGCGCAGTAAAGAACAATAAACTGTTAACGTTAGTGTAAATATCCTATGTGCCTATAACACTTCGACACTAAACACTAAAAACTGGGAGTTCCTGGCGGCTTCGTAGAAACCCGCTCCGTAGGTAGCTCCGTATGGACGCGTAGTTCAGCAGCGCGGGTCCCTGGACAGTGTCGTAACTCGACGTAAGAAGTTCTTAGTTTTGACTCCTACCCGCGTTTTAACCTGACATAATACTAGGTCAAATCCCCGATTGAAAAGTGTATGTGATACTTCAACTAAAGATAGATACCTGGTTCACGCCAATATATGCGTACATACCAAGTTACCTCAGTTTGAGAAAAGCATATCACCGCATAACACCCTCCCACCCTCCCATGAGAGGTGCAGATGCACCTCCGAAAGGATAAATGTTTATGTTCAACTCGGCCGCGGGACCCGCTCGGGCCGCACCAGGATCACGTAACGGTATTTTCTTGTACAAAACGACAAACCTTTTCACCAAAAATTATAAAACTGATACATTTTATCATGGGAGCGAGTGTAGGTCTTATTGATCTAGTTAGGGCTGGTCCGAAATAGGTTCAGTTAGTCTAATTTTGCAATAAGTATTACACAAAACTTTAACAATGTTATCACTCTCCTAAGAGTGATACATCATGGAAATCACACAGGGTACATCATGGAAATCACACAGGGCATTTCATCACACGATAATGTGTGAAAAGCTCGGTGAAAAGTATATCACACATGGAATTAACTGTCCTGCGATTTTTACGATTCCCGATGATTCCCGGCGTGGTTTCCGGGCTGCTGTACACGTACACATGATTGCGAAAGTTACCCCATTAGGTGGTTTTCCCACAGATTTATCGTCGATAACCCGTGAAGCTATCGGTGCTGCGCGCAGGACGTTACACTTCGAGGAGAGGACTGTACAAGATGCGGACCAGCTGGACTGCATTAAGCTGCGCCAGGTGCAGGCTTGTCGCCTGGACGCCATAGCTGGCGGACCCGGACTGTTCGCTTTGCATCGCTCCGTGGAAGGATACGCGTCTCGAATGGAGGAGGTGGTGGTCTTGGTGCCGGTATGACAGCAATCCACACTGAGAATGTTTTTCTTGCCATGCACTACAGTAAACCAGAGTGTGATACTGACTGCGTCGGAAATGATGGTTGACACCGGTCTGCAGTTACGTTGGTGTTTATCTGTGTGTAATGTTAGTCGTTAAACTACGGTCTCAGATCGGGATGTAATCCTTTCTTGTCATGGTGAAAACAAAACCATAGCTATTTTTTAGTGGATCTAGGTCAAATCACCTTCTTGTCCCTGGTCCAAGTCATCCCATGCCCTCACTGTTAAAAATTTTTCTCTTAAATTTAATAACATTTTTGTGAAGCATTAACACTAACATTGTTATTAAATTTAATAACAAAAATGTTATGAAAAGTCATAACATTTATGTTATGAAATTTCATAACATATGTTGCGAAAAGTAACAACATGAGACTGTGAGAGTTTCGAATCGATCAAACA